GTCATAGGACAAATCGAGAAAAACTGTCAAACGAAGACCTCACTTGCACTGTTACGATAAAAAAATCAAGTTTTTTTTGTATGTATATCTTTTCTCATTGCTTTGTTTTGACGTATGTATATATGTGTAACAATAAACTATTACACTTATGAAACAATAACAATGTGAAGAAAGGATTCCGTGAAGAATATCGGTTAACAGCATTTCGCGACGGCCGTTAGTCAAAAAATAAATTGACTTGCGGTACCATCGAGGTGACCGGGTCGCTCCATGCGTCGGCGATGTTTGAGGTAACGACTTTGTCAGATGCGATCTATTCTCGCTACGCAAAACTGGTCCGTATTTTTAAATATGCTGGTGTTGTTTCACTTTAAATTATGTCCATTACGTGCGGCCTATTTTATTAAAGCTCAAAGTGACTCGTCTCGAATCTTCCTTCATACTAACGTCCATTCTTGGAAGCCAGATCGTTTTGTTTCATCATAAAAATCTCACAATACGTAACAGTTCTCTTCGTATCTTTTTCTTCCGTGAAACATTTAAAAGACACTTTTCTCAGGATATGGAGACGTCGACCCCTGTTAAAGACTTCTATGTAGTCCTGTCTATAGCCAAATTTTGTTTTTTAAGTCACGTATATCCAGTAGGCTGACTCGTTGGAACTATTGTAGATATCCATCTTTGGAATACAAACCGAAAATGTATTGTTACTATGCTGATTGTGTATGCAATGTACGTAACGATCCACAACGGCTAGATATTATCTGAACAAAATTAGGTTCTCACGTATTACGTCGATATATTTGTATGTCACCGAATAGAATAATCTTTTTGAAAAACAATTGAAAGTCATATAAAAAATTAAAGAAAATTAGTGACAGTAATATTTCGTCGAGGCTACGAAAGCCACAAAGTTCAATGTTTCAAACAGCGTAGGAAATTTTACGAGAGATGTCCGTTCGATTGCGCATGAGTTGAATTTTGATATTGAATTAATCGAGAAGGTAAGGTTCGATAACAAAGAACATCACAGGTTCCCGCACTCTTACTGTGCTATTGTTCGTCGCGCAGGAATTCACCAGGATAATGACCCTACCAAAAAGGGTGCGTTAATCATAACAGTACTCAATAAACAGGAAATGCGTTTTTAATTTAGTCACGTAACTAAAGTACATTGACATGACATTTAAATCAAAATTGAAAACATTCTTTCGTGTTCGATCGTCATAATATACGTGTTTTATACGTCTGTAGTCAGCCGTATCCTAGTAACGAAGGCAGCAGTTCAATACTTTTTATCACAGCTGATTCAACCATTGCGATACAGATTGCTCATTAAAATGCATTAGTTGTACACATTTGTATGCAAATATATCTTCTGCATACAGATATTGAAACAAAAATAGATACGTTTAAAGACGCTAACATTACAGACAAAAATCAATTAATTAAAACATTTAATACGAAACACACAATTAACTGTTCACCAGTTTACATTTACCAAAACAAATTAATTACCTAATTGTTTTGTTGTTTAAGTTATAAATATGTATGCAGATGCTTGAAATGCTTTATTATTCAGAAAAACATAAATGCATCAGTTTATATTTTGAATGCGAAAACATAAAAACTTTTTTAAGGATTCTCACGAAAAATTTTATATTTTAGGAAAGCTTCCTTCTAAGGGCGTAAGAAGTCGTAATGAATAAGATATCCAAATTCTCTATTAAAACATAACTATGTCAAGTTATTTTCTTATTTCACGAACATCTTGCTATTCGATATTGTATGTAGTACAGTTAATTAATGCCTCTAATGATACGTTGAAGCCGGACTTGGACTTTACAACTGGAATAATAAAATCAGCGGTATTCCCATCATTCCTTTAACAAACATGTTAATGTGCAAAGGTTTTCCTTCAATTTCAATAACAATTGACAAAGAACTTGTTAGAATTTTATTACTTAATAATTAATTGACGCAATGGGAACATAAAAACTACAAACATCTTGTTTTATTACTGCTTTAATTATTTTTTAACAAGAAAATTTTAAACTAGAAATCTTCTACTTTCTTTGGTTTTTAAAGGTTTCTTTCCTTTTACTTATTTTATTGATATGGGTTAAATTTGAAGAAAGATTACGAGAAGTTTTCAAGTGATTACTCTATTTAAATTTACAGTGATCTCATGGACTTTCTGTTGATTTTTTGTATGTTACTATTTAGAATATTCCTCTTTATAACATTACATTAACTCCAAAGTTATTGTACCACAACCGGTTCATTTCAGGTTTACAGTTAGGAGTCGTTCCCCTTGTTAACACTAGTTTAGTCCGTAGTTAATATTAAAAATAAATACAACACTATTATGCATAAAATGGAACTAGAAGATTTAAAAGTTTTTGTTATTTAAATACTACTTCCTGAAGATATCAGAGATCTACAAAAAAAAAAGGAATTTCAACCTACAATCATCTCAAAAATATCTGTTTAGATTTTATTAAAATAATACCTCAGATGATATGGTACTTAATTTAATTAAATTAAGGCTAGCAGTATTGATGCATTATTTGTATTAAATTTAAACGGGTTAGTGGTACGTATGTTCACCTTGACATGACCAGCCATACTTATTATTCAAAAAAACGGAACGAGAAAAACTAATCGATTGTCAGAGTCAAGGTTAAAAAAGAATTAGGATTGAATTAAAAAAATTAACTTTACGAGTTAATTAAATGTAATAAAATGCATTAGATGCACAATTTAAGTATATATTTGATTTAATTACCATATATCCGCTTCGGTTTAATTTGCATCTACTGTTTATATTAATAGTACCTCTTCTTTGTTTAATTTTTTTTGCAATAACTTTATTCTATTAAACATACATTAAAAATAATTACATGAAGTAAACATATCCTTAAAAATTGTAATAAAATTATTACTAAACGTCTTATCAGAAAATAATTCTAATATGAATCTTTCATATTCCTTCAGAATTATATTAAAAAAATAATAATACAAACAAACAAACATTTTTATTAAAAACAATTGAATTAAAGTAATATAAACATCATAAGTCTGTTGTTTTCTAACGTTATAAGTAAATAACATACGTCAATAAATCATAAAGACGAGTCGGTGATCTATGACCTAGAACTTGTGGCAGAGACTGGTTCCGTGAGTCACGGCACAGTCGCCGATTTCTCAGAAACATTGCTTTATTAGTGTTTCCTCCCGAACCAGAAGGCATGCCTTAAAATGACTCATACGTTGGTCACCGATTTTATATAATCTTCCGGATAAAATATCCGGTATATCAGATACAGTGACATAACTCTGTGGTTAGTTGTATGAATTTTATAACTAGATAAACCTATCTAGACTAATATAATAAAGCGTAAACACACACTTTGTGGCGTAGGATGTCAGCAATCACATTATGTTTTTGAATAATTCTTTATTTAATAAAAAGCCTTACACTTACGACACGCTTTAGACTATATATTTTCACACATTTAAACTCAGGAGGTAAATTATTATTAAACTCTGGAAATAAATTGGTTAAAAAACGTAATGTGGTACAGGGTCCATAAACTAGATGTTGCTATAAGGAAGCTTGGTAACGGTAATTTTGACATTTTCAACAGAGAATTTGACAATTATAAGCCGCTAGGAAACAGCTAGTGTAATAATGTGGTACGAGTATATGTTGTTTATTTGATTACAAAGTAAACGTTTACTTTGGAAATTAGTGTACTGTTAAGATAAGGTACTAGTAATGTATAGTTTTGGAGATATACAAAAACATGTGATATATTTGGAACGATTAGTGCGTAACATCTGCAAACAAAACAACTACTAGTAAGTAGCAGAAAATAGAGTTCGATAATTCGTTTTCGATAAACAATTCGATTGTATCTAAAAAGGTAGTTCTCGATGCATATAAAAGTTAAGTAACACCTAGATAAATATCTCTTTATTACATGAAATGTGTATTTAATTGCTTTTTGTATGATCTCTCTTATAATAGAGTTTACTTCCGATGTTTTCATATCATACACTTCGTATATCTAGGTTATTTTTTCATTGAATTTTATATTTCTTTTAAGAAATCACACATTACATTGTTTATATTCGGTGAGTCATATCGTACTCGTACTTAATTGCTACTATTTCAAATGACGCAAACTCATTGAAAACACATACATTTAATGACCAATACGGATCAACGTGTCCTTATGACTCACATAACACTCACGAATTGAAAAGTCAAATAAACACCGATACATGTATCCAACTCGAGTGCATTCCATCTCGGTCGTATAATGTTCTCAATGAATGAATTTACTATCGAACGTGGGGGACTACTACGGTTGGTAACAATTTATGATAATTTAGTATCGCCCGATTAGAGATGTTCTAAGAAAAAAGTGAATCAGCAACGACCTGTATCATATCCGATCCTGATTACGTTATAAAGCTATTGCTATTTAATACGGAATTAAATTATATGTGACTCAGCATTTCCTTTAAGAGATTATAAACAATTCCATGATAATTGTATTAATCTACCTGGAATAAAGGCATCAAGCGACAAGGTAGGTTACTGTGAAAATTAACGCAATTATTATTATAGATAATTGAACTGCATTTATGTTTTTTGCAATCAATCGATAGATGTCACAACAGTTGTAAAATACAATGTTACATTTTATGTGATGATCCTGTATGTCGTATCTGTTATTAATAATTTATCTTAATATTTCGATATCTTCAAAGATTTATATTTAATTTTATTAAAACTTCTACTGTTTATGTTCCTTGGGTTTTAACATTTACAGAATGTAATAAATTTGTTGTCTCTCATACAATTTGGGTCCTAGCACTATATTAAGTTGGATACCATTTTATGTTGGGATCTATATGTGTTTAATTTTGTACTAGTTGCTGCTGCATAATTACATTTCGTCTACTACGTGTATAATGAAGGTACTCACCATGGCTTTGTCAGTGTCTCCGAAGGTCGGGGCTGCACTACTCCTGGAGAGGAAGACGAACGCCGCCGCTATCGTCCACAGTATCCTTAAACTGCTTCTTAAACTAACCAGCGCCATATTGCTTCTTGTATTGCTCTCTCTTGTACTTATTAAGCTCATTTATTTGTACTTTTAATTCGTTTAAATTTATCTAATTTTAATATGAACGGATTTTCATTAGTCTTAAAAATTATAATTATTCAATAAAATAATTATTCATTTATTGCTATCGTTGATATGTTTTGTTGCGATTTGATTTGCTTTTTGTTTGATCTGTAACAAAAAAATTATCAAATTAGTTGTGTGTTCACTTCAATAAAATAACATTTAAAACATAAGCAGGAACAGTATTACTTAACAAATTAAGGACACAATCTCATCTGTTCTCAGTAGACTAGAAATTGTATATTATTGAATAAGAATGAGAGTAATTTACTTTGTAAATAATAAAACAATCAATATCAAAGCCACGACTGTTACCTACAGCGTTGTTCTTCAAATGACTATTGAAAATTACAAAAAGTGCCTGAAACTAAACTGCACCAAGGAGGGGATGTAGAGATAAAATAGATAATGCTTAAGTTATAGTATTGAAGTACATAGTTTTATATAAAATGCAAAGTGATAAGAAAAAGAGGCCGTGTCTTAAAATGCGTCATATCAGTAAAGATAAAATGATTCATTTCTTATACATACGAGTAGTACTTTAACAATTAACATCCTGTCATATTTTACATAATGTTACTAACCATGATAAAAACTAACTTTCTTACTATACACCTGTATTGTGATAATTCAATGTTGGATAACATCATTCATAGAGTACAAGATATGATTAAAATGAACTGTCGCCCCACAAACATCGTTAGGGCAAATTTGGTCCCGTTACGACATTTTGATAGCGCGGAATTAAAAAACCTAGCCTATACCTATCTATGTCAGTTACCCT